ACCTAGGGATTGGGCCTGCCCTCTGCCACCTGGGAGCAGGCCTAAGCCAGCAGGTCGTTATCTCCCGAGGGGTCCCAGACTGCTGAGAGGGCACAGGCCGAGCTGAGGGACTCCCCCGCCCCCCCCCGCCCGAGTGCACAAATTTTTGTGCACCGGGCTTCTAGTGTTCTATAACTGAACCTGAGTCAAGATATGTAGCAATGTACTTTTATCTCAGATTTCCTTAAAGTAAACATCCTTTAATTCAAAAGACTATGTAATAGAACAAATGTTGAATTAGAATACATCTCACTTAAATTAGCCATATTATCAATTTTATGTGATCATTGACTTTCTAGATATGTAGATGTCTTGTCTTTTTATCCCATGTGTGCTATCCTTGTAGTCTAAAAGACTCTTTTTTTGTAAGGAGTACATCTTAATGGCTCGAGAAGAACTATTTTGGAAAGACTGGAACTATTTTCCAATGATAATACTATTTTGGAAATAAGTTGAAAATTTTTCAAATAATTACTTATAGATGAACTGGGACAGTCTTCTTATTTCCTCCTAAAATTTTTGTTTTAGTTATTAAGATGTTGGGAGAAGGAGGGGACATCTGTAATACTTTCAACAATACAGAGAAATCTTAAAAATAAATAAGATAAACCACTATGAAATCACTTTTAAAAAAAAGCATATGAGTTTTGAGGTAAGACAGTCTTGCAGTGGAAATTAATTTCTTTTTCTTTTTATTAATCCTCACTGGAGGATATTTTTTTCAATTGATTTTTAGAAAGTGGAAGGGAGGGAGGGAGGAAGAGGGAGATAAACATGGATGTGAGAGAGACACATGGATTGGCTGCCTCCCACACACACTGACCAGGGCCAGGGATTGAGCCTGCAAAAGAGGTACATGTCTTTGACTATAATCTAACTCTTGACCCTTCAGTCCTTGGGCCAACTCTCTAACCACTGAAAAATATTCTTTGCTGCCATTTCCTCATTTAAAAACTGAGAGAAATAATTGTATTTATATCTCACTGGATTTTTGAGAATTAAATGAGGTAATACATGTAAAGATTGTATAATTGCTAACATTATATGTGGTTCCTTGTAAGCTTCGCATAAATATTAGCTAGGCTTGGCTAGTTTGCTGGCTGCAGTTAGGAACAGCCTAATCTAATCAGCTATACAGCAAAGGGATGAAATCAAACAGCTTTCAGAGAACCCGATCTTACCATCAGAGTTACTTGTCTTCTATTGCCTGTGTGGATGACTTCTCACCTTCTCACCGTTTGGTCTAGCTAAATTCTTCTGGATTTAAGTTCTTGGATATATATCCCTGAAATTTAACTCTTGCCTGGAAAGTCAATGATTTCTTTATCTACTGATATTTTCAGTCTTCATGTCTTGTTATTTAATCCATCCCAGATCTCTTCTGGTTAGGGAGTCTCTTAATCAATATTACACATATATTTTACATTTTGTGGAACTTTGCCGTATTTACCAAGCTCTTCTCTACCATGAGAAGGGCAGATTTATTTTTTTTAAGATTTAGGGTTGAAAGAAAAGCTTATTAATTGATGGATAAGCTCATGAAAGTATTTGTTTATATTAACTTCCCTGAGGAGTGATGAAAATGTGAAATTATAGGAAAACACAACCTGATAGAGAACACGTTTGTGGTTACCGGAAAGTTCAAAGAACTTTTTTTTTTTACTTCATTGCAATTTTATAAATTACAAAGTATAGGTTCAACTGATTCTTGAATTTGTGAGTCTACAGAGTTGCTCAAGATTCTCTCGGTGTACCTGTGAATTTGAATTAAGTCCCATGAGAAGGAAACATAAAGAAAAGTAAATCATTATTGATGGAAAGAAAACGCACAACTCCCATAACACTCTGCAGTGTATAAATCACTTCCTCAACCATTATCACAATTCAGTGTTTCTTTACATAGTTATTAAATTCACATTATTTAGGAGTCAAAATATTTCAAAACACTTGAGGGCAGTTAGTATGATTTTCAAATAATGTAGAAAGACATTTATTAATACATACTTTATGCCATTATTATTTCTGTTCACAGAGGGGAAAAAGTTGAAACTGTTTGGAATCTAAGCCTAAGATTAGAGCAAATAATACTGGAAAAATCCTTTCTTTCTGTGAACAAAAATCCCCTCAATAATCCTTTTCCCTTCTATTTAATATTTGGAATGTGAGAGGGTCAAACATGACCTGGCAAGGAGAGGGGAAGAATGTGGAGAGAGCTTAGGAGGGAAGCAAGAAGTTACACTCATAGAGAGGTTGGTCCATTTTCTGAAGATGGGTGTTGAGAAGACAAAATAAAAATTCACTAGTATCTCTTTCTGCTCCACTCTGCAGTTTCTTGCAGTCCATAAGAGCATGCTGCCAATGATTCTCTTTTGTTATGCCAATTCTTGACCTTTGGCTGTCATGTGAGTAATGTTAATTGGTATTGTTCTGGCAATGATGGAAACTATATTACTAGCTAAGGCCTTTCTCATAGGATCAGTGTTGGGCAGTATCTTAAATGTCACCTCCTCCCACCACCTATACTGTTTTCCAGTCTATATTTTCTCCTTTCCTTCTCTTTTTCTTCCCTTTTCCATAATCTCTGCCTCACAATATTTTTTTCTGTACTCTATGATCTAAACTAAAGGGAACTCTTAGTTGGAGTGCCTGACCTTAAACATAATTTGTTCATCATTAATATCCATCTTACTCATGGGAAGTGGTTTTAACATTTTACATTTATCACCACACTTGATCCTTGTTTTTAAGCATATGAGTTATGGCATTATTACTACTTATTACCCTTTTATCTTTATTGATATTTTTCTTTTATTAATATTTTACATGGGTTGTATGATGCATTTAATAAATTATCCAAGATCACCAAGGTAATAATTAATGCAACTAGAATACTGAAGTTAAGATCATGGTTACTAAGAAAAATCCAATAAGACAAAGGTCTCACTTCATTAAACCAAGCAGCAAGAACAAAGAGGCCATCTTTGTGTCAGTGGAAAACTAGACTATAGAATGTTGTGGTAGCCTGTTCCAATGACAGAGCTGCCCAGCTAACAACCAGAGTTATGAATTGTGTTGTTCCTAGTGAAATGGCTGACTCTAGCCTGGCCAGTGTGGCTCAGTGGTTGAGTGTCAACCCATGAATCAGGAAGTCACTGTTAGATTTCTAGTCGCTGTTAGAGCCCAGGTTGTGGTCTCAATTCCCAATGCAGGTGTGCAGGAGGCAGCTGATCAATGAGTCTCTCTCATCATTGATGCTTCTATTTCTCTCTCTTTCACTCTTCCTCTCTCTGAAATCAGTTTTAAAAAAGGCTGACTCTAAAGTGGAGGTTAGCAAAATTTTGTATGTTAGGTGAGCATAAGGAGAAGCTATCATCTGTATTTTAGCACCATTTTGGTTGCATAAAAAAAAAACTAGTTTTGATGGAATAAAAATTAAATTCAATGTATTAAACTCATATTAATAAGCATTGCTATTAATATATTTTAAATTTATTTTAAATTGCATATGCTTATTAGAAAAACATTGACCATAACCAAATTTATAACATAGTAAGAGTCTTCTCATTTTCTCTCACCTAATTTCACTTTACAGAGATAACTGTAGTTATCAGTTTGATGAATATTGCTCTACATATTTTCTATGTCTATATAAACACATGGGATCATATTAAATTTACTAACATGCAGAATCGTGGTGTGTTTCTTTTACATAATATACTATGAGTATTTTTTCATATAAACACAAATATTTATTTTATTCACCTTAATTATTGGGCTCTTCCCATTGTATAATATATAATAACTCATTTAATCAATATGCTATGCTGAATATTTAGGTTGTATTATTGCTATTATAAAAATATTGCAGTGAACGTTCTTGTATAACAAATTATTTTAATCTGTGAATTTATCTATGGATAAATTAAGATAAGTAGAAATTCCTGTATTAGCGTAATCACTAATTTTTTCAATGGATATCATTGAGGTGCCACTTTTCAGTTTAATCTGTGAAAATTAAGCACACATGTATACAATGGTATTTTTATTATATATATAATAGAATATATATTTTATTGTGTGTGTGTGTGTGTGTACCATTCCAAGCAGACCAAAATTGCATCAAATGGTTTTGTACAAAGATCCATACACCTAACAATTTTTATTATCCTACTTCTGATACTGAAAATAAAAGAATGCATCAAAACGGGCTGTATATATTTTAAAGTTTCAATGTATGAAACTATCCAAAAAGAGAAGTAATCACTATGTGTGATAGCTAGAGTCTCTCCTCTTTGGAAAGGTCATAGTTTATTGATTTTAGAAGAAGGGAGAGAGAGAAACATCAATCTGTTGCCTTCTGTATGTGCCCCAACTGGGGATCAAACCCACAGTCTGGTATGTGCCCTGACTGTAAATAGAATCCACCACCTTTCAGTGTAGACAGTGACGCTCCAACTAACCGACCAGGGCTCTATTTAATCTTTTTCACACCTTTTTAATTATGAACACTGGAATTCTCTTCTAGGAAGTCAATTACTCATTGAAATCATTTCTTTTTCCCTCCACCAGGGCTGGGTGGGGACTTTATGGTATTGACAGTATGCCAGATCTCAGAAGGAAAAAAACTTTGCCTATTGTACGAGATGTGGTAAGTCAGTCACTCCTATTGAATTCTCTTTGATTGCATGTGTTCTCTTTGTCTTTATTGGATGCCATATTGTCCTCATTAAATAACTGACCTATAAATATTTCATAGAATAGAACATGTAAGAAGCTGGATTCTAGCAAGTGTTATACTTATTATTTCTTTAAAATCTATTAGATGGGGAAAATAACTCTAACCTTCTGACAGCTCTAGATATTAATTGAAATTACAAATGGAGTTAAAATGACCCTATAATTGAACAAAAAGAAATCACACAGCATTTCAAGCAAGCTGCTACAACTGGCTTGGATATGTTTCATGCTATGAATGACCACAAGTTTAATTTGCAGTTCAAGGCTTGCTTTGAATTTATTCACCTTAACTCAGTAGACTTTAATACTTATAAAGTAAGCCGATAATATTAATCATTTTTTATTCTATTCTGTTAATATCAACTCTAGCCAAATGAAGAGGCTCTTCCACTGCCTACAGAAAACCATGGCTCCCAAGTCATTGTAACTTTCATTAGCCCTGAACATAACTCTGGGTAACTCAAGCTCTCCTATAATGAGATATACTGGGGAACATCTAGAGATGCAAAGAATTAATAATTTTCTGTATTATATTATGAAAACAAATAGCCCATCAGCATAACAAAGAGTGTTTTCTGACATCCACAATGTCTTCACATTTTTTCTGGAGGCATATTCTTAATAGTTTATGACATGAAAATTTATTTTTTTCCCAGAGAAACCAAAATTTATTTATATCAGTAACTTCTTTTTAATCTTCACCCAAGGACATGCCTTTATTGATTTGAGAGAGAGAGAGGAAAGTAGAGGAAGAGAGAGAAAGAGAAAGATCGATGTGAGAGCACATCAATCAGTTGACTCCCACACGTGCTCCAACAAGGGATCAAACCCACAACCTGGGTATGAACCCATGACCTTTCAGTGTACAGGATGATGTTCAACCAACTGAGCCACACCGACCACAGTGATATCAGTAATTTTTAATTTTGCTATGAAAACCTTCATCTGAAAGCCATCACTTTAGTTTTTAAGTAGAAAGATACAATCATGACTGGGACGATCTTTTACTGAAAAGCATGCTATGCCTATCCTATTAGCTCAGAATACTGCCATTGTCGTGTGGATGTTACTTTAAAGTGTTAGGTTTATTTAACATCATTATACTCTTTTCTCACCTTTCTTATGTCTAATTATTTATACTTTGTTTTCTCTGACACATGGAATCTTCAGGCCATGGTAAGTGATTACTTATTTATTTAATTACTATTTGCCAAACTTCCTGTAGCTTCTAATGGGAGAGCAGATCTAATATTCCCATATAGAACTTCTGATTTCCAAAACATCCTATAATACTATTGAGTTTATTATCTATATAAATAAAAAGCCAGCAACCGGAATGCTATAATGACTGCAATGACCAGTCACTATGACACCCACTGCAGCCAGTGAACTGACCCAATCTGGGGGTGGGGCTGGCCAGCCAACCTCCTGAGGGCCCTCCCTCCAGTTGGCCTGCCCCTGATCGGCCTCTCCCACCCCATTGGCCTGAAGCCCCTCACCCCCGGCTGGCCCTGCTCCTGATCGGCCCACCCCCCACCCCAATAGGGGGCGGGGCAGCCAGCCAACCTCCTTCCATCTCCTCCTCCTGACAGGCCAGGCCCTAATCCACCCCAACTGGGCCAGGCTGGCCAGATCCCACCTGTGCACAAATTCGTGCACTGGGCCTCTAGTATTACATATGTTTCAAGTAGAAGCAGTATAATGGTTCTATTTTACAGGGGAAACTAAAGGGACTTGCCTCTTATTTAAAATCACCTAAGTTACCAGCCTTGAGTGAAGAAAAAACCTCTGAGTAGAATGGTCCTCAATTGATAAAATGGACCCATGCAAGAAAATGTCTTAGCTAGATTTGGCAGCATATTCCAGGGAACTGTGAACAACTCAAGAATGATCTAGCACCAATTCTGGTTCAGGGTCATCACACACATCAGCTGGCTCTGTGCCAATGGTCATGTTTTATGAAAGAATGTGCTCATGACCACCTTGGGGAGAAAAATTCTAAAAACCTCTTCTAGCCTTGAAGCCATAGCTGATTACCCTGCCTTACTGGACCTCAGTGTTCTCATCTATAAAATGTAGGGGTTGGGTTTGATGATCTAAGGGGACTCTTTCCCCTTTAATGTTCTATGTTTCCTTGTTCTAGATGAATTTGCTGACTACTTAAAATGGCAGGTCTCTATTGACCAAAACATGAACAATAGTTTATATTCTAACATTTTTACATTCTGCTGAGCAGTCACCTCATGTACCAATAATTCATAATTCTGTCTGTTTTAGACCTTGGCTGCCCGGAAATCTGGACTCTCCCTGGCTATGGTGATTAGGACATCACTGAACAATGAGGAACTGGTAGGCGCAAAGTCCATTACTATGTATCCTTCATAGTCCAATGGGAAAACCATCCTGTTTGATGCAGTTATTTATAATGTTTGTTCCAGTGCTCCAGGAATAACTGGGAGCATGGGAAGAGTCTGACCCTAAAACAAATTTCCCCTGGGCCTTAGCTTCTCTATCTTACAAATTATCCTTTGTTGCTCAACTATGCATAAAATGTCCCATCTTTAGAAATGTGATTCCATCCTAACACAGTTTAGCTTTTATTTTCCCCCTGAAAAAAATCCTGTTAAAGTTTTACATAGTTCAAATTTTGTCGCATTTATGAGGCTTTCCAAAATACCATCCTCCCTTTCTGCTGAGCTATTAGTTTCTTTTGTGTTTGTTTTGTTTTGTTTTTAGCATTTAATCACTACCTCCATAAGGTAATATAGTTAAGAGTGGGGGCTATTTGGGGTGAGTTCCATATCTTCCATTAAATTATCATTCTTGTATCTGGCAAATTATGTAACTGCTGTAAACCTGAGTTCTTTCATAGTGAGGTGACAATAAGAGGATTAAGGGAGTGTTTCCATGTTTAACACCCAATGTAGCCTAAGATATAGTAAACAATAAATACAGGTGTCTTTCTTTATTATTTTTCTTATTACACTTAATTTTATTATTTGTATAATCAACTTGCATAACCCTTTACTTTTAGACTGATATCTCTGAGGGTAACATAATATTTTGTTTGTTGATCCATATTTTCATGTGTGTTGCTTAGTACTCTGTCTGGCATGAGGTGGAAGCTGTGTAATTCTTGCTGAATGAAAGAAGATACAAGTAAGCTGCAAATATCTAGGTCAGGGATTCTTAATTTGGCTCCTCAGATTCACTGGGGGGAGCTTTAAAACACACCTTCTGTCTGGGTCTCATTCCCAGTGATTCTGATTTAATTGGCTTCAGGTGTAGCCTGCATAGTTTTGAAAACTCTCAGGTGATTCTAACGCGCAGTGGATGTTGTGAAAAGTAGCTCCATCCTGCACAGACACTGCTGAGGCTTTCACTTAAGACAATGTATCCGTGCCCCTTTCATATGGAAATTAATATACTCTACCTCTCTCAATGTTAGTGATTTTGTCATTCTTATAGAATTTTTTCCCCCAAACATTACTTGTTATAAATGTCTATACCCTTGACATTTAAACATTGTTTATATTTCTTATTCTCTTCTTCTTGTCATTGTCATCTTTCAAAAGCCCACGTTTCCTAGGTCTTATCAGCAAACTCTCCAGTCTCAATGTACATCAGCAAAACAATACATGTTCATTTGAATATCTGAATGTTAAGGCAAGTTAAAACATTTTCTATTGTGCCAGGGAATTGAAATACTGTGGCTGCTTCCCCAGGGGCATGGGACACCATCTAATATTCTGAATATAGTTTGGATTTAAGAGAAAGTAAACATCCTCTATTGATATATTCCTACACTAGTCCTTTTTTATATTTTAAAATATGGTAATTGGTTTGAAGTGCAAATACTCATTGCTATAAGAACCTAAGAGGAGCCCAGCCAGTGTGTTTCAGTGGTAGAGTGGTGGTCACAGTTTGATTCCTGACCAGGGCACATGCCTGGGTTTCAGGCTCAATCCCTATTAGGGGATGTGCGAGAGGCAGCCAGTCAATGATTCTCTCTTATCATTGATGTTTCTCTCTTTCTCTCTCTCTCTCTCTCCCTCTCCCTCTCCCTCTCCCTCTCCCTCTCCCTCTTTTTGTCTTTCTCTCTCTTGCCTTTCCTACCCATAAAATTTTTTAAAAAATGCTAAGAGGAAAGCAATAGAGATTAGAGGAATGTTACCACAATTTCTGAGGCTCTGACAGGGAACCTACCCTCACTTTATGGTTAAATTAACTATTGATCTACTTTTCACCAACTTTATCACTTTACTGCTTTGGTTTTAGAAGATGGATATAAAAGTTTTTTGTTTGTTTGTTTGTTTGTTTTCTGTGCAGGTGCTGGGTGGATAAGTAGCATCCATCAGCTCCCTCTCAAATTCATAAAGCCCATTTCCCTAGAACCCATGTCTTAAAAAGTAAATGAAATATGGCCACTATACAGCAGGCATATGAAGTGTCACCCTTGACAAGCCATCACATTAATTCATTACATGGGCAACTAACATTAATGCTGAAGAGGACAGTGTCCATTTCTTGGTGTTGGAGGTCTTCCTAGGCACCTCAAAGTGAAGGTCTGAAATACTGGCCTCTACATGAAGGAAAACGGCTTGGTCGTGTGGAAACTACCAAATGTTAGCTCTTCTATTTTCATTCAAGAGATGTATGTAAGAAGCTCAGGTATCTCTTCCGAAGAAGGAAAAGGCTGGAAAGCCTGATGTGAGAGGCCAGAGGGTCAGCAGCACAGGCCCCATTAGCACTGTTGGCAGTGGGACAAGCATGCCCGGTGCCCCTCCACCTCAGTCCCCACTCACCCGTGAGGAGTTGGTGGAGCTGACTGGGAATCTCGGTCTAGGAAACCCTTCAGGAGTAAGGTCTCTGAACATTTCCATCTGGCTTAATAATGCAAGAAGGGATAGCAATCTAGTATCCATATACGGCAACAATAGTCTGCCTGGTACTACGCTACCTAGCTTTGTCCTTGCTTCCAGCGTGTTTCTTCAGCATGGACCCAACAGTGGGACAACCAAAGTAGATCCATTCAAGATTAAATAAATATTCATTGACTACTATGTGTCAAGCATTGTTTCAGATTCTGGAAATAAGGCAGTGAAC